TCCTGTATTGGAATGTGCACAGGTATATAGAGAAAGTTAATCTTTTTTTGCTGGAAAATTAAATAAGTGTAATTATTATTTTTGATAGAGATCTCCAGGTTGAGTATTTTAATGTCCTGATCATTTGCATATATATATGCAGTATATATTTTACTGACTACTGTGGGATCATTATCTTCTCTCTTTGGAGTAATAATGAAGCATTTAACTGGCTTCTCTCAGGAAGTACATGCTAGAAACATGTACTTTTAAAGCAGTGTTGCTTGCCTAGCAAGTTTTTATAATTGCAATTTTTAGAGTACAATCCTTTGGGTGTTATAATAAAGGAGATACATATTCAGACAATGCAAAGGTAACAATAAAACTTTCTAAGGGGGAACGGGAGGGATGCAGAAGAAGTGAGGTGGCATACCTTAGGGGTTCCTTTAAAAGCTTTTCTGATTGATTATTACACATATTTGATGGCTCACCTGATCTGCTGCCATGGATTTTGTCCAACAGGTAGGCTGTGCACGTACTGCACCTTTAAAGCACATTCAAAATACATCCTTTCCTACAAATAATTCTGGGCTAGTTTACCCCTCACAGAGTTAGTTCCCAACAACCCTTAACAATCTACAGTGCCCAGAATTCTTTGAGGGAGGGAATGTGTTTTGAACATGCTTTAAAGCTGAAGTGTGTACACAGCTGTAGTCTTGCTGCCAATTGGGGAAAATCAAGTGACAAAAATATAATCTATCCCCCATTCAAAGTATGCGCAGGCTGACTTGGAGTGTGACTGTTTACAGCTACATATGCATTAGAAAATTAGATCCATATGGAAGACTTCTTTCTTTATCAATGGTAAGAGTTTTACATTTTAAGCCCATTGATTTTTAGTCTCTATGGTTTAACCCACAGCGCCACCTGCGTCCATTTTGGATGATTGTAGGATTAGATATATTTCGGAATTTTAAGCCCATTGATTTTTAGTGTGTCTACTCTTACCACTTTGTTAGATACCTCCATTGTGTTAAGACTGAGATGAAAAGGTACAAAAGTGAGATAAGCATGTTTGTCCTTTATTATATTTAATCAAGGAGAATAGATACATATCACTGGGGATAATGGAACAGGACCTTGCCAATAAAAGCTTTTGACAAGCTGTGCCCTGTGCTTAGAACTTGAGCAATGTCAACCAAGTGAGTGCAGGTATCTTTCATCATTGTTCAATCATGCACATGTGGTGTCCTCTGACAGTTTAGTAGTCCTCAGTGTGATGAAAAAATTGAGAATATTTGGTAGCTAATATTCTGAAGCCCTCTTCATGCACTCGGTGTGAATATGTGTGGTATAAAATTTGGAATGGAGGAAAAGCACGCACACACAGGTCCTGCCACCAAGATCCCTGTGCGTGCTGGTTCCTCTTTCAGACTTTCCTGCATTGAGATGGAACATCTAAAGTGGAGCAGAAGTGTGTTCTCGTGAATCCCCATAGATTCCTCTTTGTGACCGGGACCCCCTATTAAGCAGGATTCATGATCACAAGGATGATTCTAAGGAAGTTCAGCTTAATGTGCTTAGGACCTCCCTTCAGACCTTTCCCCCTCAATGCAGTAAAATCCAAAATGAGGATATTTCAGGAGGGGGCTTGGGTGCATAGCCTCCCCCCCCTTTTGCCCACACACATTCAGGTGAACTCTTGAATGGGGCTACTGTACCTATCCAATTTAGAATGCTAGTTCATTCCCCTTTCTGTTTACTTGGCAAACAAGGCATAAAGCAGGGAAGAACTTTCTGAAACAAACCTCTGTTCATGCAGAAGTTGGAGGCCACTGGCTTTCTCTTGTCCACAGCAAAAATCTCCCTTTTCAAGTTCCTCTCCCATACAGAGCTTCCGAGATTTTTAGCAATGCAGTCCTCAAGGCAAATGTCATTTTATATGGAAATTATTGGTAAACTTTACCTTTCTTAGTTTCTAACAAGTTCTTTTCCGCTGCTTTCCCCACCACTGGACTCAGAACTTCAGTTCCTGGGCTTTCCCCAGCCAAAAAAGTGTCAGTGGCTGGAGATGAGTATGTAGTATTCGCCACATGTCCTTTCCATGCTCACTGTTGAATCCAAGGGTCAGTCCATGGGATCTTCTTCCCCTGCTGCCATTCCCCTTTGCTGTAGCTACCTGTTTACTCCCTCATTTGGAGATGGCAAGTTAAGAAGCAGCTTGAGAATCAGGGATCAGGAATGTCCATATGCCTTCTGTCTCTCAGAGGTGGTCCAGATTGGGCCCAGAGGGGGAGTGTCAAGTAGGTGGGCAACAGTGAGTAGCAGGAGAACTGCGGGTGGGGGCTTGAGAGCCTCTTTCCCAAGGGCTCCCTGAAATCAGGAACCAGCTTTCATTTAACATTGTGTGTAAATTTGCCTTTGACTTGGTGGTGGCTTTTATTTTGCCTGTTTGGTCTACAACCGCCCGCCCACTTTCACAAATTCCACCTCAGTATTCGGAGATCTTCTGCAGTTTGTATCCCACGCTAGCTGGAGCTCGGTGAGTTATGTACGCTTAGGGGCAAGAGTTGGCTGCGCTGTTCACTCACAGGCACTCCCTTCCTCCTTGTCATGTCAAAGAACCCTGGTGTTTCTCTTGAAAAGTAATTATCTTAAAAGATAGGTGCCTCAGGGCAGTAATAGCAGCCACACCGGATGCTGGAAAGAGACCCCACCATCTGTTCCCACACCCAGTCTGTAGTATTGAGGTGGGGAGGAGAACTTAAGAAGGACCTCCAAGTCTCCTCTCCAAGGAGACTCCAAAGCAACTCTCTGGTTTGAACCTCCTTGATGTGACTCATTGGTCCTGAAAGGCAACATTACTGTACCAGATTCTTACTTCTAGATATGGACTTGCTAGTTAATGACTGCATATTTAATTTGACTGGTTACCTAGCACTGATTTCACATATTTTTCACCGTTCTCAAATGAAACTCTTTTCTAGGGCATCAGTATAAGTATCCCTTTCTGTCCCTATTTTAGGTAGGACCAGCCCTTTCCCCTTGTTATTGTATGTATTGATGCCTTCACCAATTGGGTGCCTTCCAGCTGATGAGAGTTGTAGTCAAAAGCAGCTGGAGGGCACCCAGTTGTTGAAGTCTGATGTACTGAATTCTTGAACGATACTGGATTGTTTCTGCCACATACAGTCGTTTTGGCTGACACAATGGCACCTGATGAATTAGGAGGACTTGGCCTCATGACATCTTTGGGGGCACTTAGCAAATAATATAGAAAACTTGAAAATACTAGGAGTCTTATGGACGCTTTTGTATTTAGGTCACACATGAGTCTATTTTTATGTTGCTTTCAAGTAAGGTAAATGCAATGACTTGAACAGACTTCTCATCTTGCTATGTGTAGCAGTGTTCAGATTACATCAGCTTCATTGTGTTTCCCATCCACAAAGGCCATGATTGGATTCTGTTTATCATAGTGTTCTTAATCCTGGGCTGGATTCAGTTTAGCTGCTGTTTGGGTGGGAAGCAACATCTCATACAACTGAGCTCTTCCCTCCCTCCTCTGTATGCCCCACCACTTAACCCTGCTCTTGAGGGTTGGGGAAAGCCCTAGAACATGGAAGAGAGAGACCTGTTGTGTGAATGGACCTCATTCCTTGCATACACGCATCTTGTACTTTGTGCTACATTGAATTCTACTCTCTCCCTTGGTAGAAAGGGTAGAAAGCTTGGTCCTAAACAGTGGAATAAAATGTCTTAAAATGGGAGCACTAGCAGGCAATAGAACGAGCTTGTGTCTAACAGGGCCTGCAAACAGCACATTTTTGTTGTTGCAGTCCTTTACAAACTGTAAATTACACCTTTGCTTGAGTTTTCCCCCTGTTGCTCCTTCCTCTGCAGTCATGAGGTCTCTAAATAATTTCAAAACTATAGAATAGGGAGATTTGTATTGCTAGTCTAAAGTTTTGGGGCTGTTAGCTAGGCATCTGAATCTGGGAGTTTGCTCAGCGTAACTCTGTTTAGCCTTGAAAACTGCTAATGACTTTGGGACAAGTTATGCATACTGTCTTCTGCTAACCTACCCCATAGTTTACAGTGAGAATAAAATAGAATAACCTCCATATATGCCATCCTGTGCTTCTTGGAAAAGGTTGGAATGAAAATGTGGATAATAAGTCTTAGATACTTGAGAGACCAAGAAGAATCTTTCTAGAGCAGACCAGAGAGACATCCTGTTCTCACAGTGCTTAATCACATGCCAATCTAAAATCTAGGGAGTAGAAGCCTAGGAGAGTTCACTTCAGATCTGTGTTCTAACTTTTTCATCATAGTGCAGATAAAATTCAATACCATGATGAATATTTTAAGTGCTTCACAAAGGTTGTAATAAGAGAGGTTTTATGATACTCTTATCTATTTAACCTTTTTGTGCTGCCTGGACAAAAGGATGACTATTTATGAGCCAAAATTATGTGCATATTCTAGTTCTCCGTAACTACCTAAATGAGATTAGTAACTGTAAGACCAGCCTGCAGCTTTCATGTGAAACCCATTTACAAATGATTTTGACTTGATAAAATGTACACAACTTAGAAATTCCAGAGAAGTTAAATTTCAGCTCTGTAAAACACAGCAGCTGAGTTGCATATCATGGTAAGCCATGCATAATGGGGTGCTGTGAACAGGAGAATCACTCCTCCTTTGCTCTACCCCACTAGTCAATGGGAGGAACAAACCACAATCCTTGGCTTAGCCATAACATAGATCACAACTGGTAAGCGAGAACAAACCTTGGCTTCAGCTCATGATTTGTTTGGACAACAACAAACCATGATCTCCAGTTCAGACATAATGCTGTGCCAAAGATTGTGAATACATTAATGGATACATAAAAATGTATGCACTAAATATCAGTAAAATGGAAGAATTTCCCATACAAAATTTGAAGCTAATAAATGGTTGAAATGCTATTGACAAATATAAACTAAAGTCCTGTACTTTACCCTTTTTTTACATAGGGAGCGTATGGAACTGTTGGAAGAAGCCAAGAAGATGGAAATGGCAAAATTTCGCTACATCCTTCCTGTCTATGGCATCTGTAAAGAGCCTGTGGGCTTGGTCATGGAGTACATGGAGACAGGATCACTGGAGAAGCTCCTGGCTGCAGAACCGCTGCCCTGGGACCTGCGCTTCCGAATCATCCATGAAACAGCTGTGGGCATGAACTTCCTCCATTGCATGTCCCCACCTCTGCTTCACCTGGATCTTAAACCAGCAAACATACTGCTTGATGGCCATTATCATGTCAAGGTAGGTCCTAGGCCATTGCTATTTGACCCACAATTTTTTTGCCATCATCGTCACGATGAGACTGAAGGAGAGGTTTGTCTCCGGGCCTTTCAATGCAAATTCTTCTTTGATGTGCATGATGTGAAACTTGGTTGTGAGTTCAGTGTCACATGTTATCCTTGCTTTATAGCAGGAGTGGGGAACCTGTGGTTTTTTAGATGTTGTTGGACTACAACTCCCATCCGTACAAGCCAGCATGGCCGGAGGTGATGCAAGTTGTTGTTCACCAACATCTGCAGGGCCAAAAGTTACCCACCCCTGCTTTAAAAGTTTGTCACTGTTTGCTAAACACAGTTACAGCTTTTCCGTTGTTGTTTTTTAAAAAAGAGTACCGGGGAAGGAAAAAAGCAAGACATTGCAAAGGTGTTTTTTTAATTTTTTAATCAACTTTCAGAAAATGCTATTGTGGTAGTGAGTAAACAGTGATTGTATAGACCAATCCCAACTCATGCCTGTAAGCAATCTTATGTTTATAATTGAAAGCTCTTTGGGTAAGAGGTTGTATGATAGTGAGGGGAAATAAACAGGAAAACATGTTGGGTTGATACCCATGTTTTTCTCTGCATAGATGGATAGTTGCAGTGTGGTATTACAAACCAACATCTTTGCTATATATAAAATACTTTATGGAATATTTTAATGCAGGTGTGCACAAATAATCTTGAATTGTGGCATATAACAAACATTCTGTATCTTATAACAAAGAGAGGTTAATTTGCCAAACAAGCTGCCCTGTTTAACTAACCATCGCTGTAAACAAGGAGCCTTGGTTCACATTTAAAACTAAGCCAATGTTCTTAGAAATAGAAAGGAAATTCTGCAGAAGCCCTTCTTGCCATAAGAGCCTGATTATTTGCTCAGACTTGCTGAGGCTCAGCTGCAGTCTACTAAAACAAGGATTACTATTAGAGCTGGAAATGGATTTTACTGTTTCTTTTTCAACTAATTAATTGTGAAAATTCTGTTCCTGTGTAATGTGCTTAGTATCTTGCTACTTGTGGTGTGAATGAGAACAGACAGATCTTTGTAAAAATAGCCTATGTTTGGTTTTGGAACATATTGATATGGTTCAGGAGGGAGTTGGTGTGTTCAGTGCTTGAAACAGCTCATTCATGTAGTGGAGAGCCATGGTTTCCCATTAATATCTGAACTGCACCCTAGATTTTTAGATAGTTGTACAGCATTAAAGTTACAGTGATGCCTGGATTCCTTGGGGGCTGAGGAGTTTAGAGCTTGTTTCTGTTCCCAGTTCAAAACTCCTTAATTTTCTAAAAATTCATCTTCTCAACCTTTGATGCTCCCCAAAAAAACATAATGGTGTGCTACACTGCCAGAATACAGGAAATTGCTTTGGTTACAGATATTATATATAAACATTATATTCAGTTATATTTACATATAAATATTCAATTATAACTGCATACATATAATTGCCGGTTCCATGCAATAGATGTTTTAAGTCCTATGCATTTTTATGAAAGTAGCAGAATACCTTTCTTTACTTGGATATAAAAACAACAGAGCATCTCTTGGCACCTTAAGGACTAATAAATTAAGGTGCCACAAGGCTCTGTTGCACAAAACAAAACAAAAACCCACCGGACTACCCCCCCCCCCCGGAAATGGATTTAAACGTGTTTCTGATTTTATTTGTGAAACTGATTCCGGAGGGTTGGAGGAAACTCCATAGCATTTGGGGAATTTTTTTTAGAAGGAAACCTAAATAATGCCCTTCTCCAAAAGAAAGCGCTCACAAGCAGAAGTGCCTTTTGAATCCAAGTTCAAAGCTCTCCAGTCGCATACTTATATCTGACAACTAAACACACAGAAGTCGTAGCAGCAGGGCTTACTTTTTAATCCAGCTTTATTACTCGATAGGCTATCCTTGGCTTAGAGTGCGGTGCAATAAAACTCCTTACCTATGACTTTTCTGTTCACTCCCCACTTGGCATCTTCCATAGTTGTGCTCTATAACCTTTGAAGCTGCTCTAGTTCCAGCCTTATGGTTAGATTGCGATCCAAGTTGTTGGAGTACTTCTAGTTGTGTGCTTGTTTAGCTTCTTTTTACAGTGCCTTTTATGTGCATAGCACTATATAAAGAACAGGTGTCATCAGTCCCTGCTCCAAAAAGGGCCTTTCAGTCTAATGTAGAATCAGGCAAGCAGCTGAGGAAGGGAGGAAATGGAGGCATGGGAAGAATGGTTTATTATTCCAATGGTGCATCCTTTAGTTACATTGAGGCATAGCGACCATGGGGATGAGGGAGTGGCAAGTACAGAGGCAGGAGGTGAAAGGAAGCACGAAGCAGTCAGTAGGACTGAGATTGGGAGACACGGAGGGGGCAGGTGCCATAATGTTCAAGGGTGTCTCTAGGGGTCTAAATACTCAGGGCACACACAGGACTCTTCAGAGCTTCTGGTAGTTGCTGGAGTTCTTGGGGGTGGAAGGAACCATAGAGCAACCACCTGGGCCCACCCTAGCAATCCTGATTCGCTTTTCTGAAAGCAGTTCTTGTCAGGGCTTATAACATTCCAAAATAGGGCTCTAGCCAAGACTATTTAACAGGCAAGAGCAGCTGAATGAGGAGTTCAGGTTAGCTGAAAATAGGTGTCCAAGCTGTGTTTTGCATGGAAATATGAGTGAGGAGACATAGCTTGCTGTAACCAAAGTTGCTTTTGTCTCTCTTCCATGGGGTTCAAAGAATGTGTGTCGCAAGTTAGTCACTCCCTGTAGCTGTTCACACATATCTCTGCAATAATTTTAATAGCCTGAGATCACATTATTTGTAAAAGGGATATGATACTTGGTTTCATTTCTCTCTTTGCCAAATGTTATTACCTGGTTGTGTGGGAGGCTATTGCAGAATTCCCATAGAACTTTGATGTTTGCACCCAAAGTGGTACAAAGGGTGAAAGCAAGGCCCTCAAAATTCGGCTAATCTGTGCATGCCTATCCAAACTGGTATCGAGATTACTGGATGGAATACAAAATTCTAAGTACTACATTGCTGCATTTGGCTGTACTGTCTGCCACCCATAGGCATGTCAGAAGGTGTCTTGAATCTAATTAAAAGCCCTTCTTTTATGACTTTATTTTTGTGTGTGCTGCATGGTTCCCACTGATGTTAATAGGAGTTGTATGACTAAACATCATGCTCAGTGTTAGAAACTTACTTCAAAGCATCTAATTTTAAACCCACAAGACTCCTTCCAGAATGCAGCTCTCTTGCCAAGGCTTTGGAGAGTCCTTGAAGGCACAACTCAGTTTGATTTAGTTGTCAGAGCATTCTGATATGCTCAAAGCAGCAGCTCTACTGGTTGTGTTCTGATTATAATGATAACAATTTGCTTAAAACAGAGACTTGTAAGATGAGTTTGCGTGATTCATAATGCCAAAATTAGTCACTTTTGCACCTGGGTCCTCCAAAAATTTGTGTGCCATTGCATCTGGTCAGTAGATTTTTCCTCTGTAGTGGAAATCAAGTTATACAAAAGTTTAGACAATAAGCTCTTTTGTCACTCAGTGCAGGAGACATTGAGCGGGGTATCTAAAACATGAGCCTTTGGTAGTTTACCTTGGCCCTCTCCCCTTGGCTTGGCTGAAGTTTGAGCTGGGACTTCAGGAATCACTATAAAAGTTCTTGGTTCAAAAATATGTGAACTCAGGGTGTGTCTGGATATTTACATTCAGGGACAAATACGTTGAATCTTTCCCCACTTCCTTCTCCACCCTGTGCATCTAACTGCTTCAGAAACGTCTTTGCTGCTGTTTCCCATTAGATTATCCCCCCCCCCCAACCCATACTGTCATTTCTCCTATCAGGCCAACTAACGTAACAACAACAACAACAACAACAACAATGTAAGTGGTTTGCAGTGGTGTGTGCTTATTAAACATTACTTTCCCTGAGCTTCAGGGTTGGCAAATTACAAATGAAAATTAAGTAATCTTTAACCAGAAGCAGTTGGTAACCTTCCATTCCTTTCTCTTTCTTTCGTCTCCTGTTCTTCCCTCTGTTGCACATCATTTTGTTCCAAGTACATAACTACAAAGATCTCTCTTAAAGTGATCCTCATTGGTGCAACAGTCACCTAACTTATAAAGTCACTCCTTCTAAGTATTTTCCTAGGTTTGCAATGTCTTGTACTACATTCCTAAATAGCTAGAAATGAGGAGGTAGAATAATAAGGCCTCTGCTTAGCCTTGTGCAGAAAGGCTTCAAATGTGTGGAATATTAACAGTTCTGTTTATGAGGCTCTTGAGTTTTGTGTCTCCTGCCAGCTCCCTCCCTTTGAATCTCCTAAGCAAAATCCTGGAAGAAAATCTATGGATTTATTTTGTTTTGACACTTAAACATAATTGGGTGTGTGTAAACTCTTAAGAAGTGCTTGCTGTTACTTGCTTATTCCTTCCATAGCCATCTGCCTGGTGCGCAGCAGTTATTGCTTTCATTTCTTTTTTGGAATGAAGAATCTTTTTTTTTGTCACTCCCTGGGTATGCAAAGTTGTTTGCAATTTCTACAGGCAAACTGTATCTCTTTCATAAAATTATTTCCTCGCATAATATTTAGCAGACATCAGCAAGTTTTCTTGCTTGGGAGGGACAAACAGTACTGATTTGTGAGGCTCACAGTAAGCACTTAAGCCCAACTGTCTCCAATGCTCTAAACCACTGTGTTTGTGCAACCACACATGGAGAAATGATTTTGCAGACTACTCTAACTGGAACTCTTTCTTTTTTTAAACTTTATCAGATTTCAGACTTTGGATTAGCCAAGTGCAATGGCCTTTCACATTCTCATGATCTCAGCATGGATGGGCTTTGTGGCACTATAGCATACCTGCCCCCAGAACGCATTAAAGAGAAGACCCGGTACTTTGATACTAAACATGATGTCTACAGGTTTGTACTTTTCTTCCTCAGTGCATCTGTTTCTTTCCAGTATTTGCTAGTTAACTCTGGTAGAATTAAATCCTCGGGAAATCCTTAGAATTGATATTTTGTTTAACCATTTTGTTTCAATGGAATATCAACAAAACAGGACACAAAGGCCAAGTCTTCAAAACTCGGGAGATACCTAAGGGAGTCATTGTAGCTTTAATGCAATGCACTTGTCTCATGCCAGCCAAAATTTTGATAAATCAACCTGTGTTTGAATTCTTTCTTGAACTGGCAAAACCAAGGTCACATCTGCAGATATTTCTTGATTCTTTAGGAAGCAGTGTTGGAACCCAGTTGATCATTTCCCAGACCTCCTAATTTTCTTTGGTGCCATCTGGGTCACGCTGATCTGGGTTACACCTCAATATGCCAAGCCACTTGAGAGGCATTAAAAGCAAGGTTCATGCACTGTGTAACAAGTGCTGTTTCAGTGATCACGTTTCAATAATGTCCAGCCCAAAGGTGACATTGTCAGCAGGCTGTGGAGACGCAGTATTCAAGCACAATGGGTGTGTAACATCTCTTTCTGTGCTCCAAAAGTGAAGTTGATCAGCTGTAGATTCAGGACAAGGAATAGAAAGTAATTTTTGTGCACAAGGCATAATTAGAACAGGGTTGTTCGGACGTTGTTGGACTGCAACTCCTATCATCCAAGCAGGCTAGGACTAATAGGACTTGTAGTCCAATAAATATCTGAATGACACCAGGATAGATCTTGGTCTGGTCTACAAAGACAATTCTTACGTTCTTTTGAGACCCAGTCTCAATTCTAGCATACCTAATTTGTATTTGATGGCCTGGGATGATTAGCACTAGAAAGTCTAACAGTAATCAAGAAAGAGAGAGCGCATTCTATGATTTTTATAAAGTTAACGTTAACTGATGTTTCTATTTGCAGCTTTTCCATTGTTATCTGGGGTGTTCTGACACAGAAAAAGCCCTTTTCAGGTAAGCAAATAAATATTTGTTTAATGGATCAAACAAAAGTCCTCCTCAAGTGTGTGTATGCCCACCCTGATGAGACTAGCCTTCAGAATGCCCAAGCTTCATCACTGCCAATTATACATCTGTTCTAGCTGCTTAACAACCACACCTTTCATGCATAGCTTTGAGGAAACCTCAGCTATTATTTCTGCACTGAAAGCCAGACTGGAGACCATAGAGTGTCAGGCTTGATAAGGAACAAAAGGGTCATTACATCTACCCTCATGTGAATAGATGGGGACATGTTGCATCCACCAGTGTCCTCTTAACAGTTAGCCAAGCTGCTCAGACCTCAACATCATGTAAGTAAAGAGCAGGCAGTCTTTACTTTAACCTGAAACAATGTGTGTAGGGAGCCAGGCAACATACCTTCTGCCATTACCAGCTGATCCAGAGACCCTAATCTACGAGACCTTGAGTCAGTTGAAATGCATACTCTCTCTTCTAGAAAGAGAACCCTAACAGGAAAGAGGACTCTGATTAAGGTGATCTGTGCTATTGGTCAGAGGCTGCTTCAGTTCTCAGAGTAATCTTAATTTGTGCCTTTTCCTTTGCAGAAGAGAATAATATTCTACATATTATGGTGAAAGTAGTGAATGGGCCACCGCCCAGAGTTGCCAGCTGTCTCCAGATCCAGACCTCATGCGTGTAACAGCTTGATCAAACTGATGCAAAAGTGCTGGCAAGATGATCCTAGCAAAGGCCAACATTTCAAGGTAAACTTTTTACTGACTAGTTTGGCAAACCCAGTGAGTCATTTCAGTGTTCGGGACTATACTAATCCCTGGTAGAGCTCCACCAAAATCTTGTAAAATGATGAATGCAAAGTATAACCCAACCCACTCTTTTGTGCAGGCAGCAGTGTGGGCACTTCCTCACTACAGGGAAGGGATATACAAGAACCTGTCCGATCATGAAAGTGTTGATTTAGATGTCAAATGATCTGGCTAGCTCCCCAAGTTGCTGCGTGGGTTTAACGTTTTGATCCTTAAAATCCCAGGTAAAATGTTAGACGTCTCTTTTTTCTTACTGTGTGTTCCATAGCATGAAAGAGGTGTCATGAAGAGTAAGTTAAGGTCATGTTTGATTAGGGTTTAAAAAGCAGGTTGAATAATCAGCAATAGTCTGAAATGTTACAGCAGATGAATTGAATGTGGTTTTACTGCCATATTGCAGTTTGTGCAGCTTCCCTTATGTTGCAGTTAACTTTGCGGATAAGAGCCTTCTGCAATTTCAGCTATAGGAAGAGCCTTGCTGGATCTGGTTCAGCATTCTGTTTTCTTGAAGCTGTGTATGTGTGTGTTTGCACAAAAGCATGCTGGGGTTGGGGTGGCAAATCCTTCACTTGGCACAACAACTAATCTTCTCTCCTGGTGACGGATTTGAACATGGCTCCATAACCTGCTATGTTGTGCAACTGGCATACTCTATTCCATCTCAGTAGGTTTTGTGGTGACATAATACAGTCTTTACAGGGCAGAAATTCTCCGCAGAGTTAATTGCTTACACATTGGGGAAATATGTTGCTGTAGCAGTAGGAGTTTGGATCAACACCTTGATTCAAAAATTATGATAATGTTATATAGAGTGGTTGACCAAACTTCTAAGTAGGAAGCGGTATCCTCTAGCAGCTGGATAGTTAGTTTCGCTTATCTAAACTGGCCAGTTGTTTGAGAAAGAGATTGTGGCATATGGGAAATATACAAAGTCGCTGTAAATGATGCACATATTATTTGACCCATCTCTACTAGTATAAATCTAATCTTTGGCCTTTGTTTTTGTTTTTTAAAATACTTCCGAAACAGAAGAACTTTGTGAAAAGCCAGAGACTGAAAACAAGGAATTGATAGTTCAGGAGGACACCAAGGATACTCGGACTTACCCCAAGTATGTACTGTATATGAAAAATAGAGATAATTTGATATTGGTGCCTTCTTCCCCCCTGGGTAACATTTGACAAGCACTTTCAATTTATAATTTCCTCCTCTTCACCCACCCCCCTTTGTTCCAGGAGCTGCCTGGACTATCCAGCTAAAGCAAGGGTCTGAACCTTCCTCATCTAAGGATTTACAGCCTTTCAGAGTTGTTGTCCCAGCTTGACTCGGAATTCACAAACAGAAGAGCCTGAAGAACTCAGCCGTAGCGCTTCTGAATCTAGGCTTGCTTCCAGCGACAAGAGGCTTTCAGGAGTGTCCTCAGTAGACTCTGCCTTTTCTTCACGCGGTTCCCTATCACTGTCGTTTGAGAGAGAGAATTCCGAAAGTGGTAAGGGTTTTATAGTTTTAGCAAACAATAACTTGGAAAAACGAATTTTGGGTGTGTGTTGAAACTGGGTGGCTGTGGGAGTTAGTGGTTTCTCATGTCCTATATAGAAGGCAACTTTGCCATGAGATTATCATTTGTGGGAGGATGTGGCACAGCCAGCACAAGTCCGCTCCCTCATTTTTCCATGACAAGTGGCTGGCTATGTGTTTTAAGATGTTGCTTATCAATCATTGCTCCCCCTCATTTTCATAGGTTCTAAGGAAGTTGTGAGCAATGATCCATGACGTCTCTTTGGGGGTGATACCCAACTAAGTCATATTCAGAGTAAGCCCATTGAAATCAATAGACTTAGGCTTTCTGTTGTGAAGTTAGCCTCCACTCAAAAGAGTTGCCTGATCTTTTCTTGTTTGTTGATAGCAAACCAATTGCACACCACAATTCTGCCAAGACCTTAAAACTGGGTTGGGGGACCTTTAGCCCTTCAGGTGTTGTTGGACTCCATCAGTACCAGCCAACATGGCCATTGCTTAGGGATGATGGGAGTTATAGTCCAGCAACATCTGGAGGGTCAGAGTTTCTCCAGTTCTGCCTTAAAACATAGGCATTTGAGGGTCAAAGGCTTCTTTCCATGAAATGTGTCCTGAGTGTTCCTAGGGAGGTGATAGGATGAAGAATGCATTGTGCAACCTGAGCTAATGAATCTGCATAGGGAACACAGGCAGCTGTCAGGTTAGTGGTCCATCTAGCCCAGTATTATCTACTCTGGCACTGGCTCTCCAGGGTCTTTAGTAGGGCCATTCCTATTACCTGGTCCTCCTTTAATTGGAGATGCCAGCAATTGAGCATATGATCTTCTACCACTGAACATTGGTTATAATTTTCATAATTGTGGCAGGAATATTTTCAGCTACAGGAATATTGCCTGGATACCTGAGTTTATATTTGTGGCACATCAAATCATATTGCAGTCAGATAGTTTTTTTGGTTTTTTTAGAAAGTCAGGCAGCGTTGCAGTCAGATAGTTGAGGCACAACACAGAGATGAATGCTTGACCATGAGCTGGCCTTCATTGTTCTGAGGATTAGGAGTCTTATCTGCATACAAGGATTGGAGAGTGTGTTTTGTAAAGTCTATTTCATGATGCTGGACACCCATCTATGCGTGTTACTCTTTTTCCCTGGAAAAGCAATAGAACTTCACTAAATTGCCAGAAGCATAATAGTCCTAGCTGCTTGTGTGCATGTGCAGCCGACACCAAGTACATGGGATCCTAGCAAGCTGCATGAGTAATGTGCCCCAAAAGCTGATAACCCTCCTACCCACAGCATGAGTAGTACAATCCAGGTGGAAGATGGACATGTTGGCACCTGCCCAGTGTGCAGAAAGATGGGAGCGGGGGAAGAGGAGGTGCTTCCTACGCTTTGGCTTCATTGGTAGCATGAAGAGTGGAGCTGCCATTTATTTATTTCTCTTGTGCCTTTAATGTATGGTTGTCATGGAAGTCTAATGTTGCTCTTTGCTTCTCCAGATCTTGGTTCCACGGACATCCAGAAAAGAAAGCTGGCCGAGGCGATTGCATCTGGAGACACCGGCAAACTGATGAAGATCCTCCAGCCACAGGACGTTGACCTGGTTTTGGATGGGAACTATAGCCTCCTGCATTTGGCTGTTGAGTCGGGCCAAGAAGAGTGTGTCAAGTGGCTCCTCCTTTACAATGCCAACCCCAACCTGACCAACAAGAGAGGCTCCACACCCCTCCACATGGCCATAGAGAAGAAGAATAAAAGCATTGTGGAGCTGCTCCTGGCGAGGAAAATCAACGTGAACGCTAAGGATGAGGACCAGTGGACAGCACTTCACTTTGCTGCGCTGAACGGGGATGAGCTGAGCACCAGGCTTCTTCTGGAGAAGAACGCCTCGCTGAACGAAGTAGACTTTGAAGGAAGAGCTCCCATCCATGTCGCCTGCCAGTATGGCCAAGAGAACATTGTGCGCATCTTCCTGAGGAGAGGGGTTAATGCAGATATCAAAGGGAAGGAAGGCTGGGTGCCTTTGCATTATGCTGCCTGGCAAGGTCACCTGTCCATCGTGAAGCTTCTTGCCAAGCAGTCCGGGGTGAATGTGAATGCACAGACAGTGGATGGGAGAACCCCTTTGCACCTGGCAGCCCAGAGAGGGCATTACAGAGTAGCTCGTACACTTGTGGACCTGAAGTCGGATGTCAACATCAGAAACGCCTCACTCCACACTGCTCTCCATGTTGCTGCTGAAACTGGCCACACAGGCACTTCAAGGATGCTCTCAACCGGGGCGCAGACGTTAGAAGCGACAACGGCCGAAGGCTGCACTGCACTCCACCTGGCAGCCTGCA